GGAAGTGTGGAAAAAAAGTAGCGGCTTGTAATCCGGAATTTACGGTAATCTCAGGGCACACACACACGAAAAACCATCCACGCCCACACTCACACCTAGGGACAATTTAAGAGTGTTCAATCAGCCTGTCATGCATGTTTTTGGAATGTGGGAGGAAACTGGAGTACCCAGAGGAAACCCACGCAGGCCCGGGGAGAACATGCAAACTCCATACACGGAGGCTGGAGCTGGAGGTTAAGAACCACTGGTTTAGCGTATCTTGTCTGTTTTTCAGAAGAGAGGAACTACATCTGTGACCAGTGTGGACAAACTTTTAAACAGAGGAAACATCTTTCAGTTCACCAAATGAGACATTCAGGTGTAAAACCTCTGCAGTAAGTACCATATTGAAAATGGTGCCCTAAATATAGTCTTGGTGTTAAACACTTGCATCTCCTGAAGAAATATTACCCATTGATTGAGAATAATTAAGGTGATTCTCCATCTTTCTTTACTGCAGTTACACATTCACAGTACAGATTTAACAATCATTTGCTCAACATTTTATTTCCTTTAATAACTAGAGTTACCATGCTTTGAAGTTGTATTTCGGTTGCCATTTGTTGATTTGTTAGCACGTTTATGTCAGTCTTTCACTAAAATAAAAAATAATCTATCGATACATGTACAGGGTCAGGCAAACCGATCTGACACATTTGTAGGTTAAATAAAAGGCAAATAAAGTAAAGAAACAAAAAAAGTGTTTTTATTTTTGAAAAGTACACATAATGCCATTCTGTTTCATTATGTTTTAAAAATTAAGTGGAGTTCTCGCGGTGCAAGGTCGGCCGGTTGACTTTCATTTCAATGCAGATCCAGTAGCTCTGAAGTTGGTAACCCATAACAAGATCGTGTTTCGAGCTGGTACGGGATCATGTCTAACAAGATTGAAGTGCAAACGGAACACTCTTTGTATTGCAGTTACAGATTAGTTTGTTTTGATAAATGTTTCCACAATGAAAGCGCGATGCTCACCAGTCGAATTCATGGTTACAACTGAAAAAGAAAAAACAATGGAATTATAAAGAAACAAAGCAAAATGGCATTACAGTATATAAAAAAAAATGGCATTATATGTACTTTTCGAAAATAAAAACACTTTTTTTGTTTCTTTATTTATTTTTTATTTAACCTACAAATGTGTCAGCTCATTTTGACTGACCCTGTACATATAGGTGCACGTCTTCATTACGCAAGATGTGCAAGTGAAATCCAGGTGGCACTTTTGAATCACACCAAACACCTCAAAGCTGAGTCAAAAGACTGTCAGATGAATGCAGAAGTACTGTCTGCAACCAAAGAAAATCTTTTACCACTATGATATTTTCTGCATTCAAAACCCCGACATGGACTGAAACCAATATCATCCTCACTTGGAAGGCATTACCATACTCAGAAAAAAGTCCTCAGTAGTAATATCAGAATCAACTTTATTGGCCAAGTATGTAGAACACACAAGGAAAGGTCCCCATTAACCGCAATAAGTGAGGGATCACTGTGCTGCTTTTGTGTGTTTACTGAAGACACTGAATTTGTGTATCAGCAGGACTTGCTGATACACTGCCCATACAGCTAAAATTCCCTAAATTTGCTTAAATGACCTCAATATTACTGTAATTAATTAGGCAGCAAACTTAATGATTTGTCAAGGGCAGGATGAGCAACATGAGACCAAATCACACAGATGAACTGAAGGCTGCTCTTAAAGTAACCTGGGGTTCCATTCCACCTCTCACCTCAGCACTGTCACAGGCTGAAAAAATAAATTCATCCAAAAGGAGCTCCAACAAGTATTGACAGTGTAACATTCTCAAGTGAACTCAACTCAACTGTATTTTTAGAGCACTTTCAAACAGCCATCGCTGCATACAAAGTGCCGTCATGGAGCAACTAACATATATACAACAATAAAGCAATAAATCAGGAACAAAGATGGTAGAAGGCACCAAACCGTAAAACTAAGATTAAAACTGAGTCATGCTGAGTCAAATGCCAAAGAATACAAGTGAGTTTTGAGGCAGGTTTTAAAGATGGGCAGCAAGGGGGCTTGCCAGATGTTCAGCGGGAGCTCATTCCAGAGAGAGGGACCAGCAACGGAAAAGGCTCGATCCCCTTTGAGCCTCCATTTAGTTCTTGGTACTTCTAATAATGTCTGGTCCGCAGACCTGAGGCGCCGGGCAGGTGTGTAGGGGCGGATGAGCTCAGAGAGGTAAGGTGGCGCGAGGTCATTTAGAGATTTGAAAACAAATAATAGGATGTTGAAAAGAACTCTAAAATGTATAGAGAGCCCGTGAAGGGATGCCAGAGTAGGAGTTATGTGCTCCCTCTTACGAGTACCAGTCAAGAGGCAAGCAGCAGCATTCTGGACCAGCTGGAGACGCTTAATGGAGGATTGGCTGACTCCAAAGTAAAGTGCATTGCAGTAATCGAGCCGGGATGTGACGAAGGCATGAATTACTGTCTCAAGGTGCTCATGAGAAAGGAGAGGTTTTACTTTGGCCAGCTGTCTAAGGTGAAAAAAGATGGATTTAACAACGGTACCAATTTGTCGGTCAAGTTTAAAATCATTGTCCAGTTTAAGACCCAAGTTTGAGACTGTTGACTTAAGATAAGGAGACAGGGGGCCCAAGTCTACAGGATGGTATGTACAAGGGCCACTGGGACCAAACAGTTTCACCTCTGTCTTCTTTTCATTGAAATTCAAGAAATTTTGTGCCTTCCGGGTTTTGAACAGACTTTTCAGAGCTACAATGCCATGACAAAGTATTCCCCCCGCCCCCAGCCCCACCTTTTCTGTTGTGTTTGCATATCTGGCAAAGGTTTCAAATCTTTCCAACCAATTTTAATGTCACTCAGACACAACCCAAGGAAATACAAAATGCAATTTTTAAATGACACTTCAATTTATTAAGGCACAAAAAAAAATCCAAATCTCTGACCCTTTGTGAAAAAGTAATTGCCCCCTGAAAATAATAACGGGTTGAGCCACCCTTGGCAGCAATATCTGAAATCAAGCGTTGACAATAATTGATGATGAGTCAATCACATCGCTCTGAAAGAATTTTGTCCCACTCTTCTTTGCAGAAGTGTTTCACCTCCGACATATTGGAGGGTTTTCTAGCATGAACTGCCCATTTAAGGTCACACCACAGCCTCTTAATTGAATTTAAATCTGGTCTTTGACTTGGCCACTCCAAAACCTTAATTTTGTTGGGTTTTTTTTGAGCCATACAAAGGTGGACATGCTGGTGTGTTTCAGATTGTTGGCCTGCTGCATGATCCAAGAGCGCTTGAGTTTGAGGGCACGAACTAATGGCCAGGCTTTCTTGTTCAGGCTTTTCTTGTATACAGCAGAATTCATTGTTCCATCAATCACAGCAAGTTGCCCTGGTCCTCAGACAGCAAAATAGCTCCAGATCATCACACTGCCACCACCATACTTCACCATTGGCATAATGTTCTTTTTATCAAATGCTGTGCCATTTTAACGCCAGATGGAACGGGCTGCACATCTTCCAAAAAGTGCAATTTTTCACTCATCATTCCACTGAATAATTTTCCAAAAGTCTTGAGGCTCATCAAGATGCCTTTTGGCAAAGGTGAGATGAGCCTTTGTGTTCTTTTTGGACAGCAATGTTTTTCACCTGGGAACTCTCCCTGGATGCTATTTTTGGCCAGTGTCTCTCTTATGGTAGAGTGATGAACACTTATCCGAAATGAGGTCTGGAGTTCTTTGGATGTTGTTCTAGGTTCTTTTGCAATCTCCTGGATGAGTCGTCATCACACTCGGAGTAATTTTAGCTGGTTGACCATGCCCGGGAATGTTTGGCAGTGTTCCAAGTTTTCTCCATTTGTGAATAATGGCAGTGAGAGTAGTTCGCTGGAGCCCCAGAGTCTTGGAAATGGCTTTGTAACCTTGTCCAGACTGATAGATTTCAATAACTTTTTTTTCTAATTTCTTCTCAAATTTCTTTGAATGGTGGCATGATGTTTTTTTTTTCTTGAAATCTTGTAGCCTACGTAACTTTGTCTGACAGATTCTATTCACATGATTTTTTTGATTCAACAAATGTGGTGCTAGGGTGTTGCCTGTGAAATTGACGTCAGCTTTCCCACAACTGTCGTCAGTCGCAGTTATTTTGTGATTCAACAAGGGGTGTAATTACTTTTTCACAGAGGGTCAGAAAGGTTTGGATTTTTTTGTGCCTTGATAAATTTAATTGTCATTTGAAAACTGCATGTTGTATTTCTTTAGGTTGTCTCTGAGTGATATTTAAAAGGGTTTGATGATTTGAAACCTTTGTGTGGATAGATGTGCCCCTCCACCCCCCACACACCAAAAAAACCCCTGAAATCAGGAGGGGGGGAAATACTTTTTCACAGCACTGTATACAACTAACGTTTACTGGTCTTTATGTTTTACTCTATATTTTCGAAAATATTTTTTTTCGATGGAAGCTGTGATCATCAAAATGATTAAAATTTTTGTTATAATATTTCACTTGTCTGTCGTGAATCTAAATGAGTTACATGTTTTGAATATCAATCCTGAAATCAAGTTTTTCTTGGTGTTTTAATTTTGTGAGATTCATTTCTAGCAGCAATTCTAGAATTGTATGTGTCTATAAAAGAGTTGATCATTTTTAAAAGTACAAGTATTTCATTGATCACGTTTTCTTGCAGATGTGAGGTTTGTGGCTTCCAGTGCCGTCAGCGGGCATCGTTGAAATATCACATGACTAAACACAAGGCAGAGGCTGACTTGGAGTTTGCCTGCTTGATATGCAGCAAGCGCTTTGAAAAAGCCCATAATCTCAACGTTCACATGTCTATGGTCCACCCGCTGACTCAAACCAAGGTGCAGAAAGGAGGCAACCAGCAGAAGCCACACATTGCAATCTCCAGCCATCAGAACATCATCATGAGTGGGGAGTCAATGCCACAAGAACAAGGCAGATGATGTTAGGAAGATTCACAACTCATGAAGTACTCGGGCCAAAGGGTGGTACTTCAACAGTATGGAGTTTTAGTTAGTTCAAATTGGACTGATGCTGTCGCTCAGAATTTCAATTTTGACAATGTCTATTTACCTCTACTATAATTTTCCAACCATGTATTCCGCTTTTAAGCTTATCAGATAGGCAGGAAGCCATTCATGTAGTAGTGTTGACTGAGATCAGATGCATCTGTATATGCACTGTATGGTCTGTACAAAAAGATGTGAAAGTAAAATGCAGATTTCTTACTCTTGCAGTGTTTTTTTTGTTAGTTTTTTTTAGGTCCCTAATATGTTTGTAGAAATGATTACAGTAAAACTCTGCAATGAAATCATGTTTGCAGCAAGAAATTTTTCACAACGGGGTTTTTCACTGTAGCAAAATTGATCTCAGATGTAAATACACACACACACACACACACACACACACACACACACACACACACACACACACAAAACGTATATGTGTACTCTATTTTTATTCCATTACTGTACGTAGTGCATACATATGAGCATACACTTATTTGATATTGTTTAACATAACATACAATTGTTTTATATTAATCACTCCACTTTGTCTGTTGGTTTAAAAAAGTCATTTATCCTCTTTTATAAAAAAGGAAGTTTCAATATCTATAATTTGATTTTAAACTTTACTTCTATAAAATGCATCTGAAGCATAACAGTACTGTAATGAATAATATGTCTACTGTATACAGTACTGGAACACCTTATGAATAGGTAATTAATAAATTTAATGATACAAAACTAAAAAAAAAATAAAAAACACTCAAAAATCAGTTTCATTTTTTTGGTTATGTTTTAAAGCAGGGGTGTCAAACTCATTTCACATTGTGGGCCACATACGGCCTCGGTAGATGTCGAGTGGGCCGGATCGTTAAAATTATACCATACTCTGCAATAAATAACCAAAATAATATGTTTTTCCTTTGTTTTGGTCGAAAGAAGCACAAGAACTTTAGGAAAATGTTGAAATTTAATGAACATGTCTTTTACAAAACATTTCATGAAGCACCTTAGATTTCCTTAGACAAATGTGTAATGCATTTTAAGATTAAACGAGATTTATAAAGAAATGAATTTTTAAACCATTTCCACATGTTCATATAAAATCTAAATTTAATCCCTGCCTACACCTTACAAACTAAGGAGAGTGCTATTAAATGTGCAAAGAAGAAAGCATTCACATGTCTTTGATAGCGTCTGCTGTGTTGGGCATTCACATGTCTTTGATCGCGTCTGCTGTGTTGGGTCTGTCTCCGTGACAGACTGAGACTGCTGTTGTCTTCTCTGATCAAAACAATGTTGTCTTTTACTCTGATCAAAACAGTGTGTCCCCTAGCGGATACTTCACGAATTGCACTTTATTAAAAATATTCATTCCGTGTCTTTTATGTATTTTTTTTCACTTTTAAATGATCCTGCGGGCCTGATCCAACCTCCTTGCGGCCGGTTCCGGCCCGTGGGTCGTATGTGTGACACACCTGTTGTAAAGCAACATTCGAATTTTCTATCCATTCGTGAAAAAATAATTGATAGAAAATAAAAGTATTGATTTGTTAATTTTTTGCTGATTTAAATTGGAATTTAAATCACTGATTTTTGAAATCAAACAATCCTAATCCCAAAGACACTTCATACTGTACTGTACGGTATAGCCAATGTACAGATGTGCACAAAGAGAAAAAAAGGGAAAGAAATCGCGAAATTTACGATCAGCATTTACTTTCACTTACATCAATTTCTTGGATAATGTCTTTTATTTTGATCACTTTTACCCTCGCTTCCAGCATCAGGGCTCTTCTGGAGTTAGCTGCTTGGCATCCAAAGGTCTGTTTTGTAGCCATTTTAGCAATACAACGAAATACTTCCTGGACTACTGAGCATGTGTAAACCAGTGTGGTGGTTGTTGTTGCAGTTTCGGAGCGAAGCAGTAGGAATCGCTGTTGGCTGAGGTTGGATTAGATTTATGCGGAAGGCTTGTTTTCGTTGTCGTGAATCTCGTCTCGAGGCAAGAGCAGAGAAAAAGATTTTGTGGAACGGAACAGGGGGCTTTTTCGTTGTGGGGGAGCAGAAAAGTGGGAATGGCTTTCATGCATGAAAATGTTTTCACACTTGGGGGTATTAATTCTGTCTATATTTATCTTACTGCTTGATGTCTCCATACAGCAAATAATGCACCATGAAGCTTTGAACCATGTCCAAACCAATTGGCTGGAAAGCCTCAATGATTCATTACGCTTTATTTCGCCAGATTTGGACATTCTTTTATAATACGGCACAAAAAGCATTTTGAGATTTCCACCGTACAGCAGGTGTCAGTAGTGAGCTAATGTGAATAAGCATCTAGTAATGAACCTTGAGCTGAAGTAAAACCTCAATGATGCAGGAGGCATCATTTTGCCAGTCACGACAAACGTCTTCCTCTGTGTATGTTCACATTGACAGGCGTCTAAATGAACCAATGAGGTTGAGCTTCAGTGCCCCCCGCAATGCATCCAGCATCCACTCAGCGTACGAGTAAAGGTTAGCTATCGTCTGGACGAGTGGAAATCTGTCTCAGTGAGATATTTAAGGCTAAATTCACATGTCTCTGAACAGCACAGGTGTCAAACTCAAGGCCCAGGCTCTGGCCCGCCACGTCATTTTATGTGGCCCGCGAAAGCAAATCAAATATGTCAGCTTCCATGACTGATTAAGATTAAGATATCCTTTATTGTCCCACACTGGGGAAATTTACAGTCTACAGCAGCACAATTGGGGGGTAGAAAGAAGAAAAAAAAACAAAGTGTTTGCATGCACAAAATAAATGTTTCAGAAGAGAGTAGTGGAAGTGTGGCGAGTCAAGAGGACAAATATCGTTCAGGATCCGGATGATGATGGTGATTGGAAAAAAAAATGCAAGGATTTCAATATAGTGCAATATAAATATATACACTGTATACATACACACATATATGCAACTGGTATAAGGTGGCTGTGCTAATTACAATTGTTACTGGTTTTTCACGTATTTTATTTTTTATTCAGCAGCCTGACAGCAGTCGTAGGAAGGAGCGGCGGTATCTCTCCTTCCTGCAGCGCGGGGTTAACAGTCTCTGGCTGAAGGAGCTACCCAGTGCTGTCAGGGCGGGGTGGAGGGAGTGGGAGGGACTGTCCATCATAGCTTTTAGCTTAGCTAGCATCCTCCTATTGCCCACCTCCTCCAGAGTGTCCAGGGAGCAGCCCAGGACAGAACTGGCTCTCCTGACCAGTCGCTCCAGTCTCTTTCTGTCCCGGGCCGAGATGCTGCCTGACCAGTAGACAATGCCATAATGGATGGCCGAAGCCACCATCGAGTTATAGAATGTCTTAAGGAGTGACCCTTGAACCCCAAAATACCTCAGTTTCCTGAGTAGGAAGAGTCGGCTCTGTCCTTTCCTAATCAGGGTGTCCGTGTTGGTAGACCAGTCCAGTTTATTGTTTAGAAGAAAACCCAGGTACTTGTAGGAGGTCACCCTCTCTATGTCCGTACCCTGGATGTTCATCAGTGCAGGTGAGGACTGTTTCCTAATGCTTGCTAAAATCTTGCAAAATTTCAAATTTTCATATGCAATAAATAACATATATGGTAAGCATTTTCTTGTGACCAAAGTCCTCCTCACAGTCACTTCACTAATTGTTGAAGAAACCATTATTCTTGACTTCTTCATATGGTTTGACAGTCATAATGGTCCTCCAAGGGAAACGGTGACTCCAATGTGGCCCGCAACAAAAATGAGTTTGACATCCCTGGTGTACAGCAACAGCAAAAATACAATTTCTTTGACTACAACTTTTCATTTTACAGGGAGAAATTATCATTTCCCCCACAACTACAATTTTAATTTTGCTTTGACTACAAAATTAATTTCCACACCTACAAGTTGTTTAGAAATGTATTTTTCACATGAAATTATATATATATTTCTTTTACAAATACATTTTTTCCTACAGATATACCATTACTGTATTTCTTACATCTTCATGTTGTTTTTGCAACAATTACAAATGTTTTACATTTCTTTGGTGCAAGTACAAGTTACTTTTGCACTGCATTTACCAAGAAACTTTTGCTCCGTTAAAAAGGTGGAAGCTCTCATAGCCAAAAATTAGTTTGAATTTCTACAACATTCACTTGATTTTGATGGAAATATCCTCAAATTAAATTTTAGGGTCTGCGCTAAAAGCACATCTTGACGTTTTCCTTTCTAATCCTTTGTGGTGTTATACAGAGCTGACGTGCTGAAAATTAATTTTCTCAATGTCCAATACTTATTGACCTGACTGTGTATTTAGTCCAATAAAATTGTTATTTACGGACAAGTAACAATAACATACTTCTGAACACCCCTCTCCCCACCTCCTGTGAAAAAAAGTGTATATTTTGTGTCATTGTCTTCTATTTGTGTTTGTGTGTTTCCTTGACAAAAATGCAGGGACAAGAAAACCACCATTTTCGTCGAATGACTCGAAACATGCAATTTTTCATCTTTTTTAGATTTATTTTGAAATTCCTTGTTTGTGATTTATGTTTTTATTTTGGTATAAACCGGATGTACTATCGCTTTCTGTCTTTGGGTTGAAGGCGGAGCAATCTCCAATGCTAGCTAACTGCGCTATTTTGTTATGCCAACATCAATGTATTTGTTGAATACACCGCACAGTTAAACCAAGTGTGCATTTCGTCACACATCCATCTTCGAAACTATTGAAGAAATAAAACTGGACGGATAATAGAAGTGTGAGATGAAATGACAACGTCAACATTGCAGGTAGATTATTTTTCAAACTAGCATGTCGTCAGTTCGGTGTTAGCTAAACTAGTTACAGTTTGAGTGCGGCTAACAGCTGGCGCCACAGTAAAAAATGGACTTCAATCATCACCTCGATATGAAAACAGTAACCACCATAACGGTCTTCGGTCATTAAATAGACCCCATTAAATGCACGTTGTGTTATAAAGAATATTGACAACGCTGCAGAGCACCCGCTTTCCTTTGACTCGTGTATTGTTTTTGCATTGTCTGTATTGTACAGCTTTTTGCAACAGCATCACTGGATACTCTTGTTGTAATGTGTTGAATAGCAAGCTGGAATCGGATGTGTATGTCTCTGTGTATCTTACATTTCTTATTTGTCTCTGCGTCACTGTCAGAAAGCGATTGATCTTGTGACCAAAGCCACAGAGGAAGACAAGGCTAAGAATTATGAGGAGGCATTGCGTCTTTACCAACATGCTGTGGAATATTTTCTTCATGCCATTAAATGTGAGCAGTAGTGGTCGACCAATAAAGTTTGCATTCCAGTGTAGCAAGCATGCATTTATCTTTGTACTATTGTCTGAAATGTGTTGCTCATGCAGATGAGGCCCACAGTGACAAGGCGAAGGAAAGCATTCGAGCCAAGTGTATGCAGTATTTGGACAGAGCAGAGAAACTTAAGGATTACCTGAAGAATAAAGACCGACAAGGCAAGCGGCCTGTGAAGGAGTCACAGGATAATGACAAGTAAGCAGTCATTCATTGTGCTGAATAAATTTCAAAATTCAAACTCTGAAGTTGACTCGAATGTGTATTTTTGTTTTGTTTTGTGCAGGAGTGACAGTGACAGTGAAGGAGAAAACCCGGAGAGGAAGAAGCTTCAGGAGCAACTTATGGGTGCGTGAATAATGCAGAGATGAAATTCCTCCGGATTTTCCCGGAATTCCAGGTTTTTCATTATTTTTATGAAAATCTGTCCGGAGAATTGAGGAAAATTTGCCGAAAATTAATCCGGATATTAGTTGACAACATTGAACGAAGACGCGTTTGAGTTTGTTGTTTTGCTTTCACGAGCGTAGCCGTGTTGAAACACGAACACGAGTAACAGGAAAGAGATATTCGTCTCTTTATAAACACACTTGCTAAACCCCAGAGGAACGAACAAAAGACACCGTGGACAAGACAGTTGTCGTAAAAAATATATTTGGACAAAAAGGGAAACACACAGATTGGCAGAAAAACGTGTCCGTCCGACTTCGAGTGTCGTCTCGGCTAGCTTAGTTTAGCTGTTGTCGTGTGTGACGTTGGGTGTGTGACATTGTTGCGTCAGCGCTGATTGGTTGAAATCAAAAGACGCGCTTGCGTAATGTTTGCGCTGACGCACGCACAGCAGAGAGCAGTGGACTGTCTACTGCTGAGGCGCGCTTCGCTCGAGTGGCGTTGCCACAACAGTAATACCCTCGGCTCGCATTCTCATGGCCTCGCCGTATCTCGGAGATTTCGAAATTTCGTCGAGAACGGAAGCCACAAAGGCTCCACTTGTGCCAACAAAAGA